CTTTTCAACCTCGTCTGTTTTCGGAATCAGAACGGTACGCGATTCACCAAAGGATGGTGGTAATTTCTTTTCCTGATATGCCTCATTAAATCCGCCCGCAAGTATTGAAGACAATTCACTTTTAAAACATTTGTACCACTTGGCACAAAGACCATCTGGTCCTGGAGATTTCCCGGGATTTAACTTATCAATCGCCCGTTCAACTTCAGATGCGGATATAGATAATTCCAAAGCGTTTTTCACTTCCTCATTCACTTGCGGCATGCGTCCTAAATATTCGTCTTTAAATCTTTCTAGGTTTACCTGTCTACACGCAAAAAGGGTTGCAAAATGACTTGAAAATACGGATAAAATGCTGTCCGTATCGGTTACTTCGTGACCGTCCTTCTCTATTTTTTCGATATGATTCCGTTGAGCGTTCGTTTTCTCCACGCCTAACGCTCTTTTGGTCGGCGTCTCTCCAGGCGCTAATGCCTCAGCCCTAGCACGGACGAAAGCACCGCGGTAGCGTTCCTCGTCAAACAGAGCAAGTTTCTGCTTAATATTGCGTATGTCAATTTTATACTCTCCCGGTTGTTTGCACTCCAAGTCTATTAGTCTTTCCAAAGTCTTTCGGAGTTCTTTTTCTTTCTTTTTCCTTTCGTAACTCAATGCGCAAGAACGATCAATAGCTTTTATTTTTATTCGCTGCTCTAACTGTTCCCATTTTTCTGCAAGTTTAACTTCATCATCCATTTTTATTTCATTAATACAGTTCATTACCTGATCTAAGAAATACTCGTCAGTGATCAAAGTGGAATTCATCTTCCACAGCTCCCATGAGAAAGTTCAACCTTTTGTTTTCTCTCCCATATCACATTTAACTAAACAATGATCACTGAAGTGTATTGGGTAGACAGCATATGTCTTACAGTGGGCTAATAATTCAAGCGACACGTAAATGCGATCAAGACGCGCATGGCTATTCCCATGAAAATGTGTGAAACGCACATCCCGCGTTCCCTCCATACAGCTGCCCACGTCTTCTAACTCGAATTCAGTAACTACGTCCGCTAGCGTCCTACTACTTTTATCGTAAATGGCGCGTCCGTTTGCTCGATCTCGCCCATTGAGGACGCAGTTAAAATCACCCAGTAATACATATTTCCTTTCCAAAGTGAAGTGCTGCTTTAGGCTGGAAAAAAACATTGCTCGCTCCTCGCAAATGGTTGGTGCATAAATACACACTATACGCCACTGACATTCATTGAATACTAAATCACAGGAAACCAATCTACCAGACGGGCAAGAAAAGGTATCTTGACTACCAGACCTGGTACCCTCTTAATGAACAAAACACAGCCTGAAGCAGTGCCTATTGCTTGAGTTACGATTGCGTAGTAACGCGTCGACAACCTCAGCACCATGCCCCGGGCCTCCTCCTCACCGTCTACTTTTGTTTCTTGTACAGCTAGTATATCCAAATCATGATCCACGAGCAGCCTGTAGACTTGGCTCTGTTTCCGCTTGGCGGCAAGACCTCGAACATTTAACGTTGCCACTCTAAGTTTCGGTACAACAGCCATGTCTACATAGTTAAGAAGTTAGCCCGGGGCATGGTGCTTACCTTCGGCGTCTAGCATAGAGCTAGACATCTTCGGAGCCTCCAGGTGGACCCGTGCCACTGGAGGACAAAGGTGGCCAGTGATTGTCCGATATCGGGTTGGGACGCAGCCTTGTGCTGCTGCGTCTGAACGAAGTTGCCGCCTTCGCAGGTGGCCCCTCTTCTTGCTTTTCGCTGGACGCCTCACGCCGTCCTGCAGACTGCTCGTGGGTTCTTTTGCTTGGCGCCCCACCAATGATACTCTCGCACGACACTGGAAGTTCGGTTACTTCACCCGGCTCAGGCTCCTTCGATGGGGTGCTAGTGAAGCCTGCTTCGGTTCGGCCGGCTGGCTCTTGAGTAACCACCTCCCCAGATGCTATGTCTGCTTTGGCTGCTGGTTCATCACCACCAGTCGGTGTAACTGTACCTGTTGAAGCTTCTGGGTTCACCGCGTCGCCCGCGCCTTTCGCCGCGTCTTCAGCCTTGGTCACGTCCATCACCAACTCAGCTGTGTCTTCACCTTCGGCTGGTCCGATAGCCGATGCGTACGTGCGCATGCACGCATCTTCGCTGTGGCCGAACCGCCGACAACGCAAGCATCGGGGTACCTTACACTCTCTTCTAACATGGCCGGTACCTCGGCAGCGCAGACACTGCATTGGCCGACCAGGTGCAACCACAAGTGCCAGTTCACCAGCCACCCTGATTTGATGCGGAAGATCTTCAACCTTCACGCCACTCTTGAGCTTAAGAAGCACAGTCCGTGTGGTTGAACCCTTGTCGCTGACACCTTGAACACGCCATTGCTCCCTTGTGACTTGTACGACCTTCCCAAAAGCCGCCAACGCCGTTCGCACGTATTCATCGTTGACGCCGTACAGAAGCCAATGAAGACGCGGCCGCACCTGCTGATCCTGGGGGTCTACGATGATGCAGCGTCGACCCTTGACTTTCAGCTCCTTCACGTCCAGCAAGCGTTTCGTAGCGTCCGCGTTGTTCATGGTGACTGCCCAGACATGATTTATCTGGTAGGCCCCCAGTGCCAACACCTCCGGCAGCAGTCCTGTAGGTCCGAGCGCGTCTCGGAAATCTTCGACTCGATACGGTCTGCCGCGCACATCACCGTGTAAAAACACGGTGTTTTGCGCGACGCGTCCCTTGGGCAGTGGTGGCAAAATAATCTCATATCCTGCGTCTTGGTCTTCGGTCATTCTGTTACCGCGGCTAGTATGTGCCGCAAACGCCGCTTCTACGGAGCACATGATTCTTGCGTCCGACGCGCGTGAGAGCCGACGAAAGAATGACTACACCACAAGCACAGCTGTGCAGAGCTCTCACGAATGAGTCTTTGTTCAATGAAGTATATTGAAACTGTAAAAAAAGAAGTGCTCTTGTGCCTGCCAGGGATCGAACCTGGTGCCTTCCAAGCGTAAGGCGGATGTGATAACCACTACACCACAAGCGCAACTGTGCCGAACCCTCACGAATGAGCCTTTGTTCAATAACGTATATTGAAACTAAAAAAAGAAGTGCTCTTGTGCCTGCCACGGATCGAACCTGGGGCCTTCCGCGTCTGAGGCGGATGTGACAACCACTACACCACAACCACAGCTGTGCAGAGCTCTCACGATTGAGTCTTTGTTCAATGAAGTATATTGAAACTGTAAAAATAAGTGCTCTTGTGCCTGTCAGGGATCGAACCTGAGGCCTTCCGCGTGTTAGGGGGATGTGATAACCCCTACACCACAAGCACAGCTGTGCAGAGCTCTAACGAATGAGCCTTTGTTCAATGACGTATATTGAAACTGTAAAAAAGAAGTGCTCTTGTGCTTGCCAGGGATCAAACCTGGGGCCTTCCGCGTGTTAAGTGGATGTGATAACCACTACACCACAAGCACAGCTGTGCAGAGCTCTCACAAATGAGCCTTTGTTCAATGACGTATATGAAAACTGAATAAAGAAATGCTCTTGTGTCTGCCAGGTATCGAACCTGGGGCCTTCAGCGTGTTAGGCGGATGAGATAACCACTACACCACAAGCACAGCTGTGCAGAGCTCTCACGAATGAGCCTTTGTTCAAAGACGTATATTGAAACTGTAAAAAAAGAAATGCTCTCGTTCCTGCCAGGGATCGAACCTGGTGCCTTCCGCGCGTAAGGCGGATGTGATAACCACTACACCACAAGCACAGCTGTGCAGAGCTCTCACGAATGAGTCTTTGTTCAATGACGTATATTGAAACTGTAAAAAAGAAATGCTCTTGTGCCTGCCAGGGATCTAACCTGGGGCCTTCCGCGTGTTAGGCGTATGTGATAACCACTACACCACAAGCACATCTGTGCAGAGCTCTCACGAATGAGCCTTCGTTCAATTACGTATATTGAAACTGTAAAAAAGAAGTGCTCTTGTGCCTGCCAGAGATCGAACCTGGAGCCTTCCGCGTGTTAAGCGGATGTGATAACCACTACACAACAAGCACAGCTGTGCAGAGCTCTCATGAATGAGTCTTTGTTCAATGAGATATATTGAAACTAAATAAAGAAATGCTCTTGTGTCTGCCAGGTATCGAACCTGCGGCCTTCCGCGTGTTAGGCGGATGTGATAACCACTACACCACAAGCACAGCTGTGCAGAGCTCTCACGAATGAGTCTTTGTTCAATGAAGTATATTGAAACTGTAAAAAAAAGAAGTGCTTTTGTGCCTGCCACGGATCGAACCTGGGGCCTTCCGCGTGTTAGGCGGATGTGATAACCACTGCACCACAAGCACAGCTGTGCAGAGCTCTCATGAATGAGTCTTTCTTCAATGACGTATATTGAAACTGAAAAAAGAAATGCTCTTGTGCCTGCCAGGGATCGAACCTGGGGCCTTCCACGTGTGAAGCGGATGTGAAAACCACTACACCACAAGCACACCTGTGCAGAGCTCTCATGAATCAGTCTTTGTTCAATGACGTATATTGAAACTAAAAAAGGGATGCTCTCGCGCCTGCCAGGGATCGAACCTGGTGCCTTCCACGCGTAAGGCGGATGTGATAACCACTACACCACAAGCTCAACTGTGCCGAACTCTCACGAATGAGCCTTTGTTCAATAACGTATATTGAAACTGTAAAAAAAGAAGTGCTCTTGTTGTGCCTGCCACGGATCGAACCTGGGGCCTTCCGCGTGTGAGGCGCATGTGACAACCACTACACCACAACCACAGCTGTGCAGAGCTCTCACGATTGAGTCTTTGTTCAATGAAGTATATTGAAACTGTAAAAATGAAGTGCTCTTGTGCCTGTCAGGGTTCGAACCTGAGGCCTTCCGCGTGTTAGGGTGATGTGATAACCACTGCACCACAAGCACAGCTGTGCAGAGCTCTAATGAATGAGTCTTTGTTCAATGACGTATATTGAAACTGAAAAAAGAAATGCTCTTGTGCCTGCCAGGGATTGAACCTGGGGCCTTCCGCGAGTTAGGCGGATGTGATAACCACTACACCACAAGAGCAGCTGTGCAGTGCTCTCATGAATGAGTCTTTGTTCAATGACGTATATTGAAAATAAAAAAAGAAATGCTCTTGTGCCTGCCAGGGATCGAACCTGGGGCCTTCCGCGTGTTAGACGGATGTGACAACCACTACACCACAAGCACAGCTGAGGAGAGCTCTCACAAATGAGTCTGTTCAATGAAGTATATTGAAACTGTGAAAAAAGAAGTGCTCTTGTGCCTGCAACGGATCGAACCTGGGGCCTTCTGTGTGTTAGGCGGATGTGATAACCACTACACCACAAGCACAGCTGTGCAGAGCTCTCACGAATGAGTCTTTGTTCAATGACGTATATTGAAACTGTAAAAAAGAAGTGCTCTAGTGCTTGCCAGAGATCGGACCTGGGGCCTTCCGCGTGTTAAGCGCATGTGATAACCACTCCACCACAAGCACAGCTGTGCAGAGCTCTCATGAATGAGTCTTTGTTCAATGACGTATATTGAAACTAAATAAAGAAATGCTCTTGTGTCTGCCAGGTATCGAACCTGGGGCCTTTCGCGTGTTAGGCGTGTAATGAAGGAATGATGATAACAAAAGGAAACAGCAAGCATCATCGCAGAGTAAGGCACCACGAGATCGGCGCTCGAGCTCCTCCATTTTCCTCGTCCTGTCGCTATCTCCAATCTCCGACCTGCCCGTTTGGTTCGCCCAATAAACCTCTTTACATTTTGTGGATCGTGCTGGGTAACCACATCGCCTACAACCTGGAACTCCGATCTCGCACCCTGCAGTCGACCATGCAAGTTGACGTACCCAACAAACAATACCTCTCGCGGCCACTACTTGCCCCGGCCCGGTTCATCAGCGAGACCCCCCGATCTTTGCCGGCACCGAAGACCAGGACGTCGAGGACTGGCTGTCGTCATACGAGAAAGTCAGTGGACCCAACAGGTGGGATGACGCTGCTAAGCTAGGCACTGTCAGTTTTTATCTCACCGACGTGGCCAAGCTGTGGTATACGAACCACGAAACCGAGTCCGCGAATTGGTCCGCCTTCAAGGAGGCAATACGTGCCGTTTTTGGTTTTCCTGCCTTACGGAAGCTACGCGCCGAACAACGTCTGCGCACACGGGCACAGGAGCGAGTTGAAACTTTCACATCATATATAGAAGATATTATTGATCTCTGCCGGCGCGTCGATGCTTCCATGAGCGAGAGTGCGAAGATACAGCACATTATGAAGGGCGTCGACGATGACGTTTTCCAGATGCTTCTCGCGAAGTCTCCAAGCACTGTGGCAGAAGTAGTGACTTTGTGCCAAAGCTATGATGAATTGCGGAGGCAACGAGCTCAGACGCGACGCTTATTCCAGACAATCCAACCAGTGACCGCACTGGATGCTATGGCTGACCAGGCAAACCTTCTCGCACAAATGAAAGACTTCGTGCGAGAGGAAGTGGCTCGGCAGCTTTCTCTGCTGCCTTTTGCTCAACGCCAGGAGCTCTCGCACCAACAGCCACTGCGACACCCACCACCATTGGCTCACATGCTCCGACATGTGGTCCAGGAGCAGATTTCCGAGGCTATGCCGGTGCCCTTGCAGCAGCCCACCGTCACCGCGCCTCTTACTTACGCTGAGGCACTAAAGCGGCAGCAGCGACACCACCCCCCGTCGTTCCATGGACTGCCGTATACCTCAGCCCCGACTCAGCCGTCCACCGCCTGGGTTCCTCCCATTGCCACCACAGCCTCGACACACCCGTCTGCCGCATGGACTGGTCCCCTCGTCGCCAATACTTAGAGAACGCGCGATAACCGGCCCATCTGTTTTGCGTGCGGCGGCCCTGGCCATATCGCCCGTTACTGCCGTCGTCGCGTGCCGGGATACACAGACGCCCGGACACAGAACAGCTTCATGGACCTTTCTCCATCCCGTCTGGAAAATTCTGACCCTCAGTCAAGCTCGTCTTCACGGGAATGTCTGCGTACTATGTCTGGTCGCTCACCTTCACCCCGTCGTCGCTCCTTGTCACCCATGCGTCGTCGGCCAGCTCCTGAACACGAGGGAAACTAACCGCCGCAGTTCAGGAGGCAAGAACTGCGCTGTCGAAATGCTCAAGTCCTCGGACATTGCCGTCGAATATTGTCGAAGTTTTTGTAGAAGGTACTCGAGCATATGCTCTAGTGGATACTGGTGCTGCCGTTTCCGTGATAGACGCTAAACTTTGCCACAAGCTCCGTAAAGTGACGACGCCTCTTAACATGATGTCCTTGCAAACAGCGAATGGGGACCCGGTTCAGCCTGTAGCCGCCTGTACTGTCCGACTGATGATCGCGAATGACCACTACACTGTTGAGTTTATTGTCGTGTCGTCATGCTCACACGACATCATACTTGGATGGGATTTTTTATCGCGTAACCATGCCGTTATTGATTGTGCAAGATCGGAGCTTGAACTTTTCCCGTTTTACGACCAACCAACCAGCCGCATTCAGCCCGCCGTACACAAACTCGTCGTCAAAGAAGGCACTGAAATTCCTCCGACAGCAGCTGTGTTGCTCCCCGTGTTCTGTGACAGCATTAGGAACGAAGCTGCATTCTTTGAGCCATCAAGCCTCTTCCTTAGTCGAAGATCACTTCTTCTGCCTTATTCAACCCTCTCTATTTCTGAAGGAAACAGTGCTCTTTGCCTCATCAATCCCCTTCCGTATCCCGTTGAACTGTTTCAAGGTGAATCTCTTGGACACGTGCATTTCATTGATAAAAAACAAATTTTTACCATGCCGCCAGATTGTTCCGGTGACTACGACGCCATAAGTGCCCTCAACCCTTCCAATATACCACCTTGCGAGCTTTTCGATTCATCGATTGCCGACGGACTATCGCCATCTGAACGCTCTGAGCTCCTTCAGCTGCTCTAACAGTTTCGTGAATACTTTGACGTTGCTCAACCTACCCTTGGCCGAACTCCCAGTTTTTTCCACCGCATCGACACAGGTTCCAACGCGCCAGTACGACAGCGACCATACCGTGTTTCCGCCACAGAACGTCAGGTTATCACCGAACACGTTGACGATATGCTCAAGCGCGACGTTATCCGACCTTCCCAAAGTCCATGGGCGTCACCTGTCGTTCTTGTTAAGAAGAAGGATGGTGCAATTCGCTTCTGCGTTGATTACAGGCGCTTAAATAAGATCACTCGCAAAGACGTATACCCTTTGCCCAGGATTGATGACGCCCTTGTTTGCTTACAAGGTGCCGAGTTTTTTTCGTCGTTAGATTTGCGTTCGGGGTATTGGCAGGTGCTCTTAGCAGATCGTGATTCTCCAAAAACAGCATTCGTGACACCGGACGGGCTATATGAGTTCAATGTCATGCCCTTCGGCCTCTGCAATGCGCCGGCCACATTCGAGCGCATGATGGACTCGGTTCTGCGGGGTTTGAAATGGAACATATGCCTCTGCTACCTCGACGATATCGTCGTCTTTGCACCCGATTTCGCAACACACCTTGTACGCCTGAAACATGTCCTCACGTGTCTGAAGAATGCGCAGCTCCAACTGAATCTAAAGAAATGCCACTTCGCTGCTCGGACGCTCACCATTCTCGGTCACGTCGTATCAAAGGATGGTGTTCTTCCCGACCCGGCTAAACTACGCGCTGTTGCTGGATTCCCCAAACCAACGACTGTAAAACAGTTACGCAGCTTCGTAGGATTGTGCTCCTACTTTCGTCGGTTTGTGCGCAACTTTGCCTCCATAATTGCCCCTTTGACCCAACTTTTAAGCAGTGCCAACGAAATCTCATCATGGTCTTGCGAATGTGATCACGCATTTACCACTCTTCGCCGTCTCCTGACATCACCGCCTATATTGCGCCACTATGATCCCACGGCTGCAACTGAAATCCATACAGACGCCAGCGGTGTCGGTCTCGGTGCAGTTCTCGCTCAACGCAAGCCTGGATCCCCTGAGTATGTCGTCGCCTACGCCAGCAGAACGCTCAACAAGGCTGAGGTAAACTACAGTGTTACCGAAAAAGAGTGCTTAGCCATACTTTGGGCAATTGTGAAATTTCGCCCATACTTATATGGCCGCACCTTTGTTGTAGTTACAGACCATCATGCCTTATGTTGGTTGTCGTCGTTGAAGGATCCATCAGGTCGCCTTGCTCGTTGGGCTCTGCGACTTCAAGAGTATGACATCCGCGTCGTGTACCGTTCCGGCCGCCAACATGCTGATGCTGATGCGCTCTCGCGATCACCACTGTCGACTGAGGCTGCCTCTATATCTTCTATGGAACACGCGCTGTCCGCTCTTGACATCGACACAATGACCTCTGCACAGCGCGACGATCCATGGATAACTTCGCTTCTGGACGCCTTATCTGGGGTACCGACACTTCCCATCACTCGAGCAATGCGACGCCAGGCTTCGCACTTCACCATTCGAGGTGGCCTCTTGTACCGGCGCAATTACTCACCAGACGGCAGGAAGTGGCTGCTCGTTATTCCCCGAAAGCTGCGCTCTACAATCTGTGCATCATTTCACTCCGACCCGCAATGCGCTCACGCCGGTGTCTTCAAGACCTACGAGCGTTTAAGGAAGCGGTACTACTGGCGTGGGATGTTTACTTTTGTTCGACAGTTTATTCGCGGCTGCCACGAGTGTCAGCGACGAAAACAGCCACCGAATGCAGGAGCAGCTCCACTACAGCCGCTTGCGTGCCCTGACCACCCATTCGATCGCGTCGGAATCGACCTTTATGGACCACTGCCATTGACCACAGCAGGTAACCGGTGGGCTATCGTTGCTGTAGATCACCTGATACGGTACGCCGAAACCGCTGCTCTTCCTACGGCGACCGCTCAGGACGTCGCATCTTTCATCCTCCATCGGTTTGTGTTGCGTCACGGCCCTCCTCGCGAGCTCCTCAGTGACCGGGGCCGTGTATTTCTATCCGACGTAATCCAAGCACTTCTCCGTCAGTGCCATATTGTACACCGGATGAGCACTGCTT